GCCGGCTTAATGCTAATGAAGCCCGGGAAATTCAAATCCCGGGCTTCATTAGCAAGTTCGGTATGCGTACATTACCCCCCTAGTTCGAACTAAGGGGGTAGTGTAGACATACCCATATGGAATAGTTAGAAATTGGGTCTAGCTCTGAAGCATGAAGTTTACTATCCCTTCTCTGGTTTTATCATCAAGAATTATGATAACTCTGCACACCCTTATTATCCATATAAATATCCAATCTCTCTTTGAATCTTGCTTGACTTCAGTGATTCCATAGTCTAATTATACATTATATCAATTCATATTTTCTTTTATCACTGTTGAATTTGCCACTTTTAAGTTCTTTGAATGACCTCTTGTCCTTGTCTTATGGAACAGGGAGAACAGAAGTTCCAGTATACCTTCTCTTTCCGGTTTGTTACTATATATACCCTCAAAAGTATGGCGGAAATGCTCACTAATTCAGAAACCCTGTTCAGATGCATACTCTATAGACTTGTGTCATCTTTAAATGGAGAAATGAGAATTTTGGTTGACTGGGTGTTGTCGTAATGGACTTAGCATAAATATATCAAGAATAAATAAAACAACATACAATAAATAATGGAATTCAAATAATTATAGGACCACTCCTCCCTCCCTGGTAGAGGATTGGATGGCTGACTATGTGTTGATGGAGAGGGTACACAATTCTGTAGTAAAGACTTTTTATTCATTGTCCTCATAGTCAAATCTTCTTATCTGGAGGAAGGCTGGGATGTGAAAACAAAATAAAATGTAAATAAGAATGTGATGAAAAAGATTGATCAAAAATTGAGTTCTTTCTAGAACTGTTGATCTGACTTACTTGCTTATTTCCCATCTCTTCTGTAGGTAAAGAGATTCCTGGCCAGGCTTCTCTGGTTTTTGATGTGGCTCTGCTAGATCTTCATAACCCAAAAGATGGCATCACTATAGAGAACCAACAAGTGCCTAAATCCTGTGAGCGAAAAAGCCAGATAGGAGACTTTCTCAGATATCACTATAATGGCACACTTCTGGATGGCACATTATTTGATTCCAGGTAACCAAACTATTAGACATTACATGGATAGAGTGCTGGATTAGGACTTAGGAGGCCTGGCTTCTATTCCTGACTTTGGCCTGGTGGGTGACCGTGGGCAAATCACTTGCCCTCTCCGTGCCTCAGTTTCCCTATCTGTAGAATGATCTTTTTTGTATAGCACTTTCAGCTCAGGCGATGAAAAGCAACATATTATTATTATTATTTTCAGTCTATACATGTACAGAATATATTTGAGGCTACTTGTAATGCTGTTCTAAGTAGTCTTAATGAGTAGAAATGATCTCAAATTCTTCCCATTTCCTGCCCATTTGTAAAGCCTGTGGGACATGTGGGTTTCAGGTGGAATCTGGGAGTTTGAGGGGGAGGGTGTTTCTCCTTCCCAGAAAGAATTAAAATCTTTGAGTATGTAAGTAGGATTCAGAGTTGTTCATGGTCTGTGTTGCAGTATGGCTTAAGTTGGGACCCCACTGGAGTATGGGCTCTGTATATACATACTAGAAGATTGTAAGATTTTTGAAGCAAAGACTATCTAAACAGACAAGACTCACAAAGGGTGTGAAAGAAACAAAATATCCCAGTTTCACGTTTGGAGAACTGAGGCACAGAGATATTAAATGACTTGCCCAAGATTACTTGCCAAGTTTTGGCAAAGCCAAGAATCGAACACACATTTCTTAGTCGCAATCCTGTGCCTTAACCAAAAAAGCATCCTATTTCCCTACTTGAGAATGCTGCATCTTACAGAATCAGGTTCTTAAAAATACAAAAATCACAATCTCTATGATAAAGAAAAAGGACATAAGTGTGTAGGGCTTTATAAACTGAAATGTTCTCAGACACACAGATTAATGTTGTTAAATATGAAGTGACCTATCATGAAAAATGTGGGCAAGGTTAAGTTCTTATCAAGAAGTTTTGTTTTAAACCTGGCACAAACAGCTAAAAAGAATTGCAAGGAAATCATTGTAAAATAAATAGAGCAATGCTACTTTATCATTCTATAGATTCTGTAATCTGATAGCAAAGTTCTTTTAAACATAAATTAATACTATCTTCCCCAGAGTTCAGTAGTATTATAGGATATCCACTTCACCACAGGTGAACAGAGGTTTAGAGAGATTCAGTCATAGATGACAGAGATGGGAATAGAATGCTGAAGTCCTGAGTCCTGGAGCGTAGCCCAAGAGAGCCTCTGTTCTTCCCCCTCCCTCCAGGAGCCCATAAATGGCTGATTCACAGCGCTCCTGAGGGAGGGAGTCCCTGACTCTTCCCCCGCCCTCTGTAACTGGGGAGGGGGAAAAAGACTAGCCTTCTAGGCTTTGTTTAACACTTAATTTGATGACTCTAGGAGCTGTTTTTTTAAGACCAACACCAAGTACTGTGAGTGTGGTGATTTTATAAAGTAACCCTCAGTAATTGGCAGCACTTTGTTAGCTTTGTTATGAGCATCCCCTGGACTAAGCGCCCAAGGGAGGGGAAGGGATTTGTTCCCAGTAATATGTGTCAGAGATTCTTGTTGGATGTGTTTGGACACTAGTCTTCTACACAGACTGTGGTCTTGGGTGCTTAGTCAGCAGCCGCATAGTATTGCAAGCCATGAAATAGTTACAAAGAGCACTTTTCTCCAAGCTGTTGTTTGGGCCTCTGAGTTATGAAGATGTTAATAAAAGACACAGGTCTTGTTCTTCATCTGCAGCACACAATACATGGGATAGCTAATTTAGTGTTTGTAGTACTGTAAATGTATTTGAACATTTTAAAATATATAGTTATATTTATAGTTATATATTTAATAATATTGTGTATGTGTTTTGGTGGGGTGGTGCACAGAGCATACTATGGTCATGTGGCTCTGTTGGTTACTGGTGTTTGCAGATGTGGCTCTCGAGTCACATAACTGAGCACCACTGATGCAGAGCTTTAGCATAGCATAGGAACAGTGTTATCTGTCAACATTTTTTTCCCTCTCATAAAAATGTAAATTGAGGTCTTGTCTTTCCTGTGGTAACTCAAGAGTTTTTGAAAATTTCCTTAGTATTTATATCTTGGTCAATGTGAATAAATAGTGAGAGAAGCGGTGTAATCACATGCATCTGAATAAGTATACATCATATTAAAGATCTGACACATGTTAAGATTATAAAATGTAATCATTAAAATGGCATGTATTCTTAAAATGCCACTCCTCTGATTGCCTGCAGAAGTTGCAAGTAAGGACAATGTCTAACATGCCTGAAATATTAGACTTGAATTAGTCATCCGGAAGGAGCCAGCCTGGAGAGACTTTTCCTGCTGGCTTAGGAAATGTCAAGAGTGAGGCTGGGTGTAGGAGATGTGTGTTAGGGTGGGGCTGCACTAATTATCTCTATCCCCATTTTAAGCAATTCTGAGTTGCAGGGCTACTCATGGTAGCCCAACCAAGGCTGCCAAAATTATTGCAGGGCCTGCACGGATTCCTACCCAGTTCAGAATCCCAAAGGCCTAAGCCAGCCTTAATGTTCCTTCCCTTGGGTGGTGCATAGACTCAGCTCGGTGTTGCCTCTAATTTTTTCCATCCATGTGCAGAATAAATTTTATGTGCATGTGCAGATATGCACCACCAGAAGAAACAGACTGCCAGCTCATGTGGGAGCTGTGAGTGCTCTGCTAATCAGCTGGGTGACACCTAGGTCTCCCTTGGATGGCTGCCCATGTGCAGAGCTTACAGGGATCACTGCTTAGCTTTCAAGAGGTGCAGCACGCAATAATATCTTTTGTGGAACGTTCTCTTTAATCACAGAGATGTTGTACCAAATGCTTGGAATAGGCCTTTTGGTGCTTGGCCAATAGTTTAGAAGGGAAGGGTATTACCTGTATTTTCTTGCTATGATGTTGTTGAAGCTTATTCACCTCTCCATTCCTCTTAGTAGAGGAAGCTATTGATTCAGAAGGCAGTCACCCAGATATCAGTTTATTAACAGTAGCTATTCATTGCTGTTGCTACAAAATGAGGCGTTGTGAAGGATGTCATTTGAAAATTAATGTAGTGCCTTATTTATAAAAGCTGATTAAAACTAGGGATGTAATAGCATAGTTGATTAAACGATTAACCGATAGGCAGAAGCTTATCAGTTAATGCTACCGACTACGCATTTCCCTCTTCCCCTACCTGGTACATTTTTTAGAGGGCTGGCCAGCAGCCCAGCTCAGTCCCAGCTTGCTCTGGGTTCTGGGGGTTATCCCCGCTGTGGCTCTGCATTAAAACTATTTTAGGAGCTGGGCAGCCAGGCAGCCCAGCTCAGTCCTGGCTTGTGGCGGGTCCCAGGAGCTGTGGGGGTAGCTTAAATGGTAAGGGTTACAGAGCTAACCCTTACTGATTAATCGTGTAGTCTGCAACATTTTTGTTGACTGCATGATTAACAAATTACACGCTTATTATCATCCCTAAATAAAACATTACTAGAACTGAAGTGGAATTAGAGGTAAAAACTGTTACTTTTGCTAAAAAAATTTAATTTAGCATACATGAGAGAAATCGAGGGAGGTAATTCTTGATTCATTTCGTATCTTGCAGAAATGTTTTTGCAAAAATATTGTTCCACTGCCAGGGTCCCTCAATCAGTTTAACCACCATAAGTGACACATGCAAATGTGACTGGTTAAATGTTGCGGGCCATATTTACTACTACATAGTGGCAGCTTTGTGCCACTCCAGCGATTGAAAACAGTCATTCATGTGTCTGGATTTAACTGGTTAAAATGAATGTTAAAGTTTGACAAAGCAATTTTAAAAATAACCATCACAAAGTGGGAAGAGGAAATACACACAAATATTGTAAGTTTGTTATAGTACTAGGTAAATTACAAAACTGCTAATAATGATAGTAGTGTCACTAAAGCAACATATTTTTTATAGCTATTCCCGGAACCATACATATGACACCTACATTGGGAAAGGTTATGTGATTGCAGGGATGGATGAAGGTTTGCTTGGAGTATGCATTGGGGAAAAGAGGAGAATAATAATTCCACCTCATCTTGGATATGGAGAAGAAGGAAGAGGTGAGCTCAGTTGTATTTCAGTACAGTCTCTAATACAAAGCAAAGTGTCTGCTCTTTGTTCTTCAGAGCAATGAAAACTGGTTAATCTCGGAGGTGTTTATCCTCTCTTTTGAATACTAATATTGTTTTCAAAGGGTATGAAAGTGGCAGATTTAGATCCAGAGTTTTCAAAATGATTTTAGTTAGCTAGATATGATTATATACCATCTCAGTGGTTTAAGTGGGGACATGAAAATGACTTGGATAATCTGTGGTTCAGACAAATGAGAGTCAGGAGTCTGCGAGTTTATAAGCTCTGCAGTAAGAGCCTGTTTCCTGCAGATCTTAATAAACTATGTATGCTAAAGGACTTCTGTGTTAAGTTTTCTTCCCCATTCTTTTCACAGCCACAAGTTTTGTGGACACCTAGGCTGCCTCTGTAATCAGTGGATGCATGTAACAACAAAGAATGTGTGTATGTATCACATACAATTAAAATTCCTTTGTGAAAATTCACTCACCGCTAGGAAGAGTATTACTAACGCATGGCTATGTCAGTTTCTTGAGTCAATAACTTTTGTGTGTTTGTGTTTTAAAAAGATTTTCCCATTATTTTTAATAAATAACTTTTTTAGGAAACATTTTGGTTTTGGGAGAGCATTTCACTGTACTGATTGGGAATTAGACTTATAGCAGAGAAACCCAATGGTGGCTGTAGATGTGTCTATGGCTGCTGGTAACGTAGTCACAAAATACTTTGGGTGTCAGGAAAAGCAAACAGTTATGGTAAAGATTTTTCAAGCATTTTAATTTCTTGGATACTGCTATTCAGCTGTCTGTGCATGGAGGAAGTGTTGATGTTCTATTACAATTTTACTGCTTTAATAGTAACTTGGTATGTGAGGAGGCACCAATCAAGTGGTTAAAATGGTCCCAGGAAATGTAAACTTCCAGCTTTACTGTGCTATTAAAATGCAAAGTAGACTGCTTAGTTTTTAAACCCTGATTTTGTTTTACTTAATTATTGAATTAACTGTTAATATACTTTTTCTTTGGTATCCTCTGCATTTTAGATGTCTTACATTGCAAGGATCTTGTCTGTTTTGTGTGCAGAGATATTCAATAGAAGATGTTTTATATATTCTCACTGTGTGCAGTATGAAGTCAGTATGTACTGCATAGCTGCCATTTTTTTTCTTCTTATATGATTGCTTACTATTTAGGAAAGATTCCAGGATCTGCAGTACTGGTTTTTGACATCCATGTGATTGACTTCCATAACCCTTTGGACTCTGTGAACATTACTACTCATTACAAACCTTCCAACTGCACAGTATTGAGTAAGAAAGGGGATTACTTGAAGTACCACTACAACGCCTCACTCTTGGATGGCACATTGTTAGACTCCACGTAAGTATGTCACTTGGTATAGGAAATATTCCACATAACTATGAAAGTACTGGTCAAAATGAGTAGCATATAAAACAATAAAGATATTTGGAGAGGGAAAAGCCTTCTGATCACTGTATTGGCCACTGTGCATCTGGTATTGGCCACTGTCAGCCAGACAGGATACTGGGCTAGATGGACCTTTGGTCTGACCCAGTATGGCTGTTCTTATGTTGACAATGATGTTAAAATACTCATGGGAACCATTTATTTTTCCTGTCTGATCAGGTCTATAAAATCTTTTCATATAGAAAAAAAGAAAGGAGGGAGAGTTGGAACCTGCAAAAAGAGAGATGTGAGAGGGGAACATAGAAATTGTCCCCACAATAAAGAAGATGATGCACATGAATTAGTGTGTTTCATTAGAAACGAGTAGTCTTGTGGTACCTTAGAGACTATGGTTGCCAGGTGTCCGGTATTGACCCAAGCAGTCCGGTATTTTCACCTCCTGTCCGGTAAAAAAAAATGGTTAAATCATCTGTCAACCCTATTAGCGTGTCTCTCACTCTCACTCTCACACACAGCTGTGCAACTTCCCTTTCAAGCTGGTTTTTTAAATTGGCTTGTAATAATATGGTAACTTTGAGATCCATTAATGAGCAGTCTACAACCTATCCTGGAAAATGACCCCTCAATCTCACAGGCATTGGGGGAAAGGCCAGTCCTCGCCTATAGACAACCCCCTAACCTCAAACAAATTCCTTCCAGCAACCACACAGCAAACCTCCAACATACTCATCCAGGAATTCACCCCTGCAGTTATCTCCGGTGTTAATCTGTCCACACGTCTATACAAAAGATACCATCACAGGACCTATAAACCACCATATCAGAGGCTCATGCAACTGCACATCCACCAATGTGATCTATGCCATCAAGTGCCAGCAATGCCATTCTGCCATGTATGTTGACCAAACTGGGCAGTCAAACAAAGGATTAAGGGACACAAATCAGATATTTGAAAAGGTAACACACAGAAACCTGTTGGGGAACATTTTAACTTGCCTGGGCACTCACTAATAGATCTCAAAGTTACCATATTATTACAAGCCAATTTAAAAAAACCAGCTTAAAAGGGACGCTGCAGAGCTTAATTTCATTTACAGGTTTGATACCTGCAATAGAGGTTTAAACAAAGACTTTAACGGCATTACTCGCTACATTCCATATCCTAGGGTGTTTCTAGACTACACCTCTCTGTCGACAGAGGGATGCAAATCAAGCACATCTAAATTGTTAACGAAGCAGGGATTTTAATATCCCGTGCTTCATTAGCATAAACACGGCTGCTGCTTTTTGTTGAAACTGAGTTTTTTTCGGAAACAAAAAAAAAAAGGCAGTCTAGACATGGATCTGTTGAAAATAAATCCTTTTTCGATAGATCCTGTATTCCTCAAAAAATGAGGTTTACAGGATCTGTCGAAAAAGGGTTTATTTTTGACAGATCCGCGTCTAGACTGCTGTTTTTCGAAAAAAAGCGGTGACCATGTTTATGCTTATGAAGCGCGGGATATTAAAATCCCTGCTTCATTAGCAATTTAGCCTATGTCGACAAAGGGATGCAGTCTAAACGTAGCCCTAATGACATAAAAAGCCAAGCACCAGGTACTTAAGAGTTCTCAGAACTCCCTCTGTCAGCTTTATTGCACACTCTAATTGATAATTTTCTCCCCATTTTTCCTTCCCTTTCCCTCCACATCCCCTCTCTTTCTCTATTTATTTTGCAACCTGGACCCCTTAACTCCATTCATTAGAAGAAATGGGTTGTGCCCATAAAAGCTCATGATACTATTTACATTTTTGTTAGTTCTATTAGTGCTGCAGGACTGTTATTGTTTTTTAAGTTAATTCCCTAAAGTTTGCCCTGAATTGTTGGATTCCCCAAGAACTCAGTTGAATACCAGTTTTGTCACTGATTCATTTATTTGGCATAGGGTGTACACTCAGTTGATCAGATCCAAGCATAGGATGGAATCAGTATAGAACTTGCTCTGTAAAGCCTCTTCCTTTGTACACATTTACACATTGCATTGCATTTACCATACTCTGCATGGCATGTTTTGGGATTGTCTTGGTTGCTTTGTAGGAACCAATCTCTGTGCAGCACGTTCTTCCATACAACGTTCATATACAAATTTCTCTTCACATTCCTGATTTATCTTGTCCACTGCAAACAGTTCCGCAAGTGTTCTCCCTTATCTTAGCTAGTACGGACATTCTGTTCTCAGCCAGATACCTTTACCTTCCTAGTCCAATTATTGACACATCACCCACTTCAGTTACACATATCAAGCCAGGCCTATAAGGCTATTGCAGGGCACTGTCTACCCTAACACTTAGAATACCTGTGTGCAACAGGTGAGTGTCCTGACCACTGGACTATCCATCCTTTCTATATAGAGGTTCTGTACTCGGTCATACAACTGAGCCAAAAATGACTAAAGGGAAGAGAGACTGACAGGAAAAGAGGCACTCAGATGTTGCAGCGGCAGGTGCCAGTAAAAAGTCCTAAGATTGCAACCTTTCCTTTTAGAATTACTAGCGGGGTGCGCCCTGTGCTTGCTATGCTGGCCCAACCCCCTTTTCTCTGGCTGCTTTTGCTTTCATGGCCTGAGAGTGTGATGACATCATTCTGTCGCCTGGCAGGAAAAACTTTTGTATATATGTAGAGAGAGAGAATGTGTTGGTAAGAGACAAAAGGTAGATGAGGTAGTATCTTTTATTGGCTATATTGTAAATGAGCATGGGTCTTAGAGATATGGGTCTTAGAGATATGTGCATTGCAGAGAGATGAATAGCTATTATTCTGCCCCTTTTTGGTCATGGAGAAGCTGTTATTGCATGCTAAGTAAATGAAACCTAATAAACAACTAGCGGTGTAATTCATTATCTTCTGAGTGACTGAAAGATTTAGGAAATCTCTCACCAGCAGAAGTTGGTCCAATAAAAGATATTACCTCACCTCCCATGTCTCTCTAATATCCTGTGACCAGCACAGCTACAACATTGCAAACAATAT